AACCTTTTGTGAAAAGAAGAGTCCATTGATGTGGGAAAATTCATTGCAGTGTTTTCAGAAATTGTCACAGCCACCCCAACCTTCAGTAACCACCACCCCGATGAGTCAGTAGCCACTAACATCAAGGCAAGATCCTCCACCAGCAAAAAGATTATGACTGTCTGAAGGCTCAGATGATTGTTAGCATTGTGTAGCAATAGTTTTTTTAAATTAAGTTATGTACGTTTTTTAGATATAATACTATTACATTCTTAAGAGACTACAGTATGGTGTACCCATAACTTTTACATGCACTGGGAAATCCAAAAATGTGTGTGATCCACTTAATTGTAATATTTACTAGATTGTGGTAGTTGGAACTGAATCTGCAATATCTTCAAGGTATGTCTGTATTTCCCTTATCTGATGTATGGTTCAAAAATATTTTCTCCCATCCTGTAAATTGTCTCTTCCCTCTGTTTATTGTGACCTTTGTTTTTCATAAACTTTTTAGTTCGATGTAATCCCATTGTCTATTTTTGCTTTTGTTGCCTGTGGGTTTTTTGGTGCGGGGTTATATGTAAAAAATATTTGCCTTTCCTGGGCCAGGTCTGCCACGAAGAACAGAGCCAGGGAGAGGGGCCCCACACGACACAGCCGCCCACGAGTTAGAACACCAGCTCTCCCTTTCTGAGTCTCTCCCCAAACCTCCCATTGCAGGCTTTTCTCAGCCCATCCCAGCAGGAAGAAAATCTGTGCAACTGTTAACAAGAGCGAGAGAGAATTCCAAGGAAAAATTATTCAAGGTATTTTGTGAAATAAAGAAAGCTAAGAATTTGAAGTACAAATTTAATGACTGTGAATCCATCCTTTTTTGTGTCTTCCAGGAATTTGTAGTATATACTGAGAGAACATTCTGGAAGAACTTAAATTATGAGGAGCAGGTTAGAATGTGGTGTATTCATGTTGTAAATTTCAGAGCTCTGGGTTTTAGAATATGTTTATAAAACATATGTTCTTTGTCTACAGATGAAGACTTTAGGCTTAGAACAAATATACTCAACTTGAAACCCCGGCCTGGAGATTCTTCAGAGCTTGCTTGCCAGGGTTAAAGGAGTGTTCCTGACCAGGACAGGTGACTAGAAATTTCACTTCGTACAACGTGTGCTGGGCACTGACTCTGTACCAGGCCAGGTTGCAGGTGCTCTGCAAAACATTCTCCGTGTCAGGGCAGGCATGGGGGCTCACACCTGTAATCCTAGCACTCTGAGAGGCCAAGGCAGGAGGATCGCTTGAGCTCAAGAATTCGAGACCAGCCTGAGCAAGGGCAAGACCCCATCTCTACTAAACATAGAAAAAATTAGCCAGGCATTGTAGTGCCTGCTTGTAGTGCCAGCTACCCTGGAGGCTGAGGCAGGAGGATCGCTTGCGCCCGAAGTTTGAGGCTGCAGTGAGCTAGGATGACGCCACTGCCCTCTACCCAGGGCCACAGCATCCTAGAGAGACATAAATAATGTCTGCACATCCTGACAGTTCTGCTTTCACACTAGAGGATTCTTCTTGAAAGATCACATTCTCCCATCCCTGCCCCACCAGCATTCTGCAACACACCCTCATATGCAGTCCTCTTCTGGGGTTCCAACCTTTTGGGGTGCTAAAGGCAAAAACTCAGCAAGGTCAATCAAGTTCAAGCCTTGCGGAGAAGGGTGGGAGTTGCCCAAGGAGAGACAATTGGTCCAGGTGAGCCCAGAGAGCTGTGCTCAGCTCTGGAAGCCACTCCCAAGCCTCCTTCTCTTCACTGGACCTCAATACCAGCACCCAAGAGGTCAGTCCCCATCACCTGTGCCCGGGCCCTGCAAAACTGCCTGGGTAGGGGTGGGGTTACCACAAAAGGCACGCCAGGATCCCTTCCCTCCTATCCACCGTCCAGCCCCTCATTTGCCCTGTAACCACCATGAAGGCAGGACCTGGACTCGGGTGGCCTTTGGGATGCTGGATCCCTGCACCCGGTGCCTGGCACAGCGCTGGGTGCGGAGGGGCGGCTAGAGATGCCTGCCTGACCCACGTGGGTTCCTCACTGAGGTTCATTCAGTTTCCTGTGCCA